ACACACACACACACACACAGACAGGTATTTTACCTCGACTTGGACCATGAGGCATCTCTGTCTGCGGAGTCTGACCACGTAACCATAGATGTCCACTCTGCCCTCTGACTCCAGACCTTCCATCATGGCATCGATGCCAATGTAGGTTCCTGTCCTGCCGACCCCCGCGCTGCACGAGAAAGAAGTATCACCTACGAGTGCCGTTGTCTTATTTAACCTGATGTACAATGACGCACTTTAGATCTCAATTAACAGCTCGTGTTTTAATCTGAATTAAACTAAGAGGCGGTGATCTGAAGAAGTAGGTGTGGCTACAAATAGACGTCCATCCAGTCAGACTTTGCCTAATATCAGCCTACAGATGTACTGACATGGCTGATGGAACAAAGTGAAACAAACTTGTTAACCTGAGCCGAGCGTAGAGTGTGACCTCTTCATACCTGCAGTGAACAACGATCGGCCCACTGAAGAAATTCTTGAAGGCGTTGACGCGCCGCCTCAGTTTCAGGAGGAGGTGTGGCTCTCCAGGGACTCCGTGGTCGGGCCAACTCATGAACTGGATGTGGGTCACCTCCCTCTCTGAGTTCTTCTCTCTCTTCTGCAGGTGCAGTTATTGAGATAAATGTGCATGCTGAGCAACACTTCTACACAGATATGATTACAGACATTAAACACTTTTACAGTTTTGTCGGTTCAACGTGTGACGGAGGCTTACGTTTGTCAGGCTGAGACGGCGGATGGTGTAATCTGGGTAGTGGTCCTCTGAGTTCAGCTTCACAATAAACTCCTCATAAAGCTCAGTCTCTCGGTCAGGAGACGGCCAGTACTGAGCACATTTGACCTGTGAAACGATGTGAGAGGAGAGAAGCTGACTGTCGCTCAGTGAGGAAGGAGAACGGAGCAAACAATACGAAGGTCTAAGATTTAAGCAAATCAGATAAGAAGCTTCTCAAAGAAAGGATATTTCTCCGTGACTCATTTTAAAAACTTTAAACACGATCTTACCCTGTTTCCCTCCTCACATCGTGTTACCATGACGATAATTGAGGACTGCTGTTCCCAGATCATCCTCCAGAAGTCATTTATAGTTTCTTCCTTAGGTCCTGCAGCGAGAACACCGTAGATAAGCATCATACATCACAGGCATTCAGTGCAGCTGTGTGAAGGACGGCAGCGTGACTTTACCTTGAGCTGCGATGTACTTTTTGGACTCTTTGAATCCCTGCAGGAAGAACAGGAGTGATGTTTGACTGTTTTATCGAACAGATGTCATGAACCTTACGTTGAACAAGCTGAACATTTTTACATACGTCAACGAAGCTGGCGTTGATGTAGTCGCATCCTGGCTCTCCATTTCCTGTGGTTAGCTGGACACGGTTATAATCATCTAGTTCAAGACAAAACATAAAATAAAATAAATGATGACAGTCTTCACAGTGACTCTCAGTGATTTTAATAACATTGATCAGCTCACAGGGCAGAATGTCCACGTAGCGGTTCTTGATAGAATTGCAGGACTTCTTGGCCTCTTTCACCGTGTATCTTGAGAAAATTCTTGGGATGCTCTGCAAGTAAATATAAACTGTGTTATTTACAGACAAGACCCAGCACCCATTCACACTCTTTCATCTCTGTACTAGGCCAAGAACAACAAGCCTTTGTGTTTTTATATTGACTCCCTCACAGCCTGTTGTAAGCGAGGGAATAAAAAATGGTAATAATAATATTAAAATAAAACCCGAGAAAAAGCTGATAAATGAATTTACCTGAAACTCAGCCAGGAAAAGTCTCCCCTCATCAGCGAGCTTCCTCTTGTAGGTTTCCAGCAGGACCTCTGCTGCGATCGGCTCAACAAGCAACAGGTTTTCTTCATCATCTACAAAAAGCAGTCAGCAAAAAAATGAGCTCGTAAAAAAAACTGAATCTTACAGTATTTGTTAACATACATCATAATTTGTATGCATAGTTTTTATATAACTCTTTCAGTCACCCGAATTCAACAAAGTGATCTGCTGTTAGATAACATAAAAATACATATATGAGGTTAAAAGGCAGGTTAACTCCGCCTACCTCAGACCGGCCATAGGACACTTATATAAATGAGATTCTTGATCTCAAGAGTTTCACTTCTTGCTTAAAGGAGTTTAAAGAAAAATCCTATTGTGATTTTCAAGCACAATTTCACTGCATTCATTTCATTTTCAAAGAAATGAGTAAATACCACAGTCATCATATTTACTCATAATGTGATGAAATTTAACTTTGAACTTTGAATATTAGTACATTTTACACTTTTCCCAAAAGGGTCTGAATTCTTCAGATCTGATATGTCACAGGATGTTTTTATGTGCTCTACAGCTGCTTTTACAGCAGTTCCAATGAGCATAGATGAGAACCAGCATGACTTCACAGTCAATTCAATTTTGAAAAGAGGAACATAGTTTACTTGATCGTGTTCCTGTCATCCTGTTGTTATCTAAACCCTAAAGGTTTTAGTAAAAACAGTACAAAAACATATGAAAATAAGTGATGCCAGGAACCGAAACTCTACTATTAAATAAAACTCACTTGTTGTTGAAATAAGCATCATGCTTTCTCCCAGGTCACTGTGAAGAAAAGAGCATAGGAAGGTTTTTAAATTCAACAGAAGCAGTGCAAAAATCTTATTAACAGGAAAAAATGCTGGTTTATTTGTAAAAAATGAACAAATCCTAAAAAAGCGAGCGCAGCTCGACTGTTAAAATAACAAAGGAAACGACATATTCAATTCAGTTTTATTTATACAGCCCCAAATAACAACAACCTTGAGGTGCTTTATATCGTAAGGTAGATCCTACAATGATACACACAGAGAAAAACCCAACAATCATATGACCCCCTATGAGCAGCACTTTGGCGACAGTGGGAAGGAAAAACTCCCTTTTAACAGGAAGAAACCTCCAGCAGAACCAGGCTCAGGGAGGGGCGGGGCCATCTGCTGTGATTGGTTGGGGTGAGAGAAGGAAGACAGGATAAAGACATGCTGTGGAATCTGCACAGAAGTTTTCTTACTGGGACTGTCTGCGTTTCAAAATGTAGATCTTGTAGATGACAAAAAGTAGAGCCACAGACGTGAGGATGATGAGGAAGACCAGAAACCCAATGACAGCTTTGTCATTATCTGTAAAAGAATGGGACGAGTGAGTGCATGTATGTAAAACATACGGTAAAAACAAAGTACACCTTATGTCATTTCTAAGGTTTGACATCAGGACATAATAAACAATAATCTACCCCTCAGCAGTGTGTGAAAAATTAAATACATCTCATGATTCAGTGCCTTTAAGAACCACTTTTTAAAGGCACCACAATAACTTGAAATAATCCTTCTCTTGTAGACGTTATAAGTCTCTCATATCATTGTGGAGGAATTTTGGTCCACTCGTCTTTACAACACTGCTTCAGTTTATTGCACTTTATGGGCTTTTACTTCTGCACAGCTCTCTAAAGGTCTTGCGACAGCATTTTAATCATATTGAGGTCTGGACTCTGGAATGGGTCATTGGAACACTTAGATTCTTTACCTTCCTGGCCTCTAAATTCTGTTTTGAATACTTTGTGCTCATTGTACTTTTTCGTTAACTATTCTTTGTTTTGTTGTAGCATTTAACATGATATCTGAGACCTGTAGAGTCTGAGATGCAGCACTTGGGTTGTTGTAGTTTCCATGAACACTGCACAGTCTGACACTGAGGTGAATTTTCTGGGACGTCCACTCCTGGGACAGTTGGTAACTGTCCTGAGTGTTTTCTTTGTGAATAATCTCACTTATTGCAGAATGATAGACTTTCCAAATGGTTTAGAAATCCTCCTTGGCACGGTGTTAATGCAAACCTAAATGCTCCAGAAGTGTTAACATTTGCTTGTACCTCAGTTAATGAAGTGCATTTGATCAGCAGCACGTGGCTGTTACTGAATTCCTATGGAAGCAATAAGGCTGTACTTAGTTTTTTACACACTGCTTCTGAGTTTTGGCTTAACTTGTATTAAGTGAATACAGATATGATGTAAATGTCAGGTGTTGTTGTTCATCTTACCTAGGTTAATGTAAAGATGATCTTTATTATGTCATAAAATCTTAGAGAAGGTGTACTTTTAAAAAACTTGGCTGTACAATGTGTAAATTGAATTTGTAAATATGTAAACTGATTTATCCAACAAACTGTGTCATTGAATCCATACTTACAGCGAGTATCAGCAGTTCCTCTGCCCGGTTGGCTTTCAAAGTATCCGTTGAAAACAGTCACCTATAAATACAGATGTTTCAGATGTTCATTCATAAGAAATGACACCATTAAAATAAAGCAGCCATAAAATAATCATATACTTAAAAGTAGGATGATACAAACCTCCACTCTGTATGCTGTAGAGTAGCTCAGATCCTTGAATTCAAACTTACAAACTGTTTCATTCTGTGGTTTGTTTTCACCACCAGGATGAAGACGTGCTATGAATCTTCTATATTCGTCTGGTCCTCTAATCTTGCCTCCATGCTGACACTCTACTTTAATCACATTATTCTCCGGCACAGTTACAGTCACTGTAGACGAACCGTCGGGTACTGTAAGGAAATGAAAACAGGGATCATAGTTTTAAGATTCATTTTTATGTCCATCAGCAACGAGACAAAACATGTGAAAGTAAACATGTTTATGTTTGCAATGTTAAAACGATTCATAATAGAAATTAATTATTAATTATTGAAGAATTAATTTATCATTTTGTTTTCATGGAGCCCAGCTTACATTTTATTTACAGATATGTAACTTTAAAAAACAGAAAACATGTGAATGAACTTCAGTTATCTCTTATCATTAAACACATTTTCCCTCCAGAATAATATGAACGAGTAAAGAAAATTAAGTCCCAGAGAACAAGAGTCTGAGTCAGCGCTGCTTAAACGACTGAACGTCATAATTACTGTCACGTTTCTTCACTGATGACTCAGCATGTTTTAATGTTCACTGTAAAGTTTCAGAGAGTCGGATTTAGTTGATATGAGGGATGCTCTCTGTTTCATGGCATTTATCTTAAAATATATCTAAATCACATTAATTATGATCAGGACTGTCACACTGAAAAACACATTTGTTTCCAATCTTTCACTAAAATAAATGAGCTCGAGTTTCTTCTTCTTCATGAAAACATCATTTTGTAACTTTATTTTCTGCTGTTCACCACCAAAGTCTTCATGTTGTGTTTTAGAAGGATATTAATAAAAATAAAGCTAAACAAAGTTTGATTTTGATCAATTAAAGGTTCAGCTTTGTTATGAAGTGTAATTCTGAATATTTAGTTTGGTAACTTACCTCCAGGGGCAGTTTTCAGTGTAACTTCCCTTTTATTGGAAACCGTCTTGCCGTTGTATTTGGGTTGGACTCTACAGGTATAATCAGTGAATGCTTCGAGTCCAGTAAAATCACACGTTCCTCCGTCAGACTGAAGCTTTGGGATTCCTGTGATTCCTGTAACATAATGTTCATGAACTCTTTGTGGTTTAAATCAGCAGGTCCAGCTAAAGAGACTTCAGGTGACTTTGACCTGCTGGCTTTAGTAAACACGACAACGACATGAGCAGCAGACTGAACATAACAGGTTGGAGATCTGAGTATAAGATAAGAATGCAGTGACATATCGTTATTTTGGATCATACTTCATGTGTTTAGTGATGGGGGTTAAATGTCAAGCAGTTATATTTAGTAAATTATTAGCTCAAAATATAAACACTTCTATATATTTTAATGATCAAATAAGCAGATCTTTTGTTAACAATAAACAAAAACAAAACAAATACATTTTAATATAAGATATTTATAAAGTGTAAGTGAATACAAATGATTGGACTTACCTTTTTTATCACAACTGCAGTCATATGAAAAATTGTGAAGGACACCATTACATTTCTTACTGGTTGTTTTCCAGCTCAGTTTAATGGAAGTATTCGTTTTTTTATTCTCCAAGTTTATTGTAAGATCTGTTGAAACAAACAGTAACAGTGCAGCAGCTGTTAGTTTGTGGCACTTCAAACTATCTGAGGAGGAAAAGCTTCATCCCTCTGAGGTAAGTTAAATATCAACACACCACAGTCAGTGTTAAGGTGGACGGGTGGAGTTGTGTAAACTGTGGGGATGTTGTTGATGAAGATCAGACCAGTACAGCCGTAGTTTCTGAAGGGATCCAGCTCAGACAGCGGTTTGTTCGTTTGACCAGGTTTGTCTTTTTCTGACGAGAAACAAAGACGACATCATTTTTTGTACCACAGTGCATGCAGCAGTTCATCTTTGGTTTTATATTCAAAATAAAACAAATTCACAAAGAGCACAAACACTCAGTCCTCTGACAGCAGAAGAGCTTTCAGATCAAACATACTTACAGTGAAGCGGATGTTTCACTTACCTGAACAAGTGTAATACACTGTGATATTTTTACACTCTTTGATCGTTGGTAACGTTGGCTGTATCACTGCAGGAAGTCCAGTGGAAGGATTTTGCTGTATTTCAGTTAAATTATATAAATCTGTGGAAAAAACATCATTGAATTATCTTCCTATTATAAGCATATGAGTTTTAATGTAAAGGTAACTTTTCTTGTACAAACCAACAATGATGTTTTTGGTGATATCAAATGAAGTATTCACACAGGTTTCTGAAGTGAAGGTTATTTTGTAATCAGAGCAGATGTCATTAGTTTGGACACACAATGTATTACTGTCACTACTGGACTTATTAACTGAAGTTATATTTGGTGGTAATTTTAACGAGCTGATGTTCCACTGGCTCTGGTAGCAAATATGTCCATTTTTGCTGCTTTGCCCTGTAATGTCCGTCTCACCTGAAACACACAAGTGATGCACAAATATATTTGATATTAAGTTTGTTAAACTACAAGAAGGCAAAACACAAAAAATATGAATTATTTGTACTCACTCATTTCTTTTGTTTTAGTTTTATTTCCAGTGGAGGTACACTTGATTGCTTTATTGCCATAATTGTATAAAACTTGATGCTCATATTCAGTACAGGGCTTCAGGCGTTGGATGTTGTGTTGAGTAGAGTGAGTAAAGCCGACCCTCTCTTCAATCACTCGTCGACCTCCTTCAGTAATACTGATGTTGTAGTCACCAGGGGGGAAGTTCATCACATTAATCTGCAGTCCAAACTCGATGGGTGTGACAGTGTAGGAACCTGAGCACAAAATCAAATCGATTGTTACATTTTGTTCATGAACATCAATCAGCTGCCGAAATGTTTCATCTCAGTCAGTTTGTTCATGCAGATGTTGACCACAGTCCAGCGTTGGCTAAAACTAAAACACAATCTTTACACTCGATAGAAAAATAAACTTTCACTAAGTAAGAAACGCTCGACAGCATCACTAGTGTTTGAAAGCAGACGACATATTATCTTTAAACTGACACTCACACTTTGGAGGCTCAGGAGTCGTCTCGGTGGCTGAAACGATGCATTCAAATGAGATCAGAAAAGAACAAAATTATTAGTTTGTGATTATGCAGCATGAATGTACAACAGCTCAGAGCACCTTACAGGTACTTGTAACTCAGCAGCACCGTGTTCTTTGCTTATATTCACATCAATGTCATCACAGGCCTGTATAATAAAGAAACGGCCAACCTTCAGTGGTAGCTGTCACTGTGGTGCCTGTAGGTGAGGCCTGAGAGTCAGATGAGTTGCTGGGTGGAGTGGGTGGGAGTGAGGTCTCATTTGAGGTGCTTGCAGGAGGAGCTCTGGTTGCTGTGTGAGAGCAGGCTGGAGGTCAACTTCAGGCAGAAATACCTAACAGCTAGCAGACTGGTTGTACCTGACACGATGCTAAACTACAAATGTAGGATTTTATCACACAGCTGTGCCAATAATCCATGAAACTATAAACTCTGAATACATTACCAAACGTGGCAGTTGAATTCACTGATGGACTAACTACTGTAGCATTTGTAGCCGTGCGTGGAGGTGAGACGTCAGACGACGTGGCTACTGTAGGACTGGTGGAAATGCGTGGAGGTGAGGAGGAGGCTGTTGAAGTGGCTACTGTAGCATTTGTGGTCATGCGTGGAGGTGAAGAGGCTGAAACAATTTTCATTCCAAGAAAAAGAAATCAGCATGACGTAAAGATGTTAGCTGTAACTGTAGCAAATGTAAAATGTTCTCACTGTAACATTTTCACTCTAACAGTCGTGTTTCATGTTGTTAGAAAGATGCTGTGCTACTTGTCACTGCTATCCCATTTCCTATGCTAGCAAACAAATGATTGCTTTAAAAAACAAACAAGATGATCCAAGGATAAGAAGTCACAACTTAGTGTAAACGATGGATCAATGAGTAATATTAAAAATGTTTCCAGAAACATGTTTTACAGAGCTCTAAGGAGCTTGGAAAGAAAAGCATCTGGACTTCTTTAAGTCCAGTTCCTCAGTTCTAAGAGCGACTGGTGGAGAGTCCCAGATTTAAACCCAGTGGGAGTTTCCCCCCACAGAGGGACAAAAGGACCCCCTG